AAGCTAGTTTTGACTTAGAAAATAGATGATATATTTTGTACATGAATTAAATTCTTCATGGTACCAGAGGAATTAATTTGTAATGTTACGAAATTTTGATTAGCCTGCTGTAAAATCAGAATTGTTTACCAGAAGTGTCTGGGTTCTGACTCTTACGGTCTTCCCAAACAGATAATGAAATGAACTGGGAATGGGGGGGGTGGTGGCAGAGTAATTTATGAAAACATGGTACACCATAATTTTGCCATTTGTCTACAATAAGGATAGCAAATGATTCATGGGATAAAATGAAATATTTCTCACTGTCATTTCAATGGATCTAAGATTTACAGCTTCTTAACTTGGATAGGAAAAACTCTGTATGCAGAAAAATGAACCGTAAATCAATTAATGATGGGGATGAAAAACAAAAAAATGATATTGAAGCAAAGGTGAGAAAAATCTAAGCAACAAATTGAAAGAAGTGACTATTTACTTGGAATCTTTGGAGGCAGGAGGCAGTAGAGACGGAAGCCCCTGTATAAGAGGGCATTAAGGTCAGGTTAAAGAACAGTGATATGCTGATTGAGCTCATTACATTTAGATCACTTGGACAAACAATAAGACAGCTTTCAAAGCAAAATCGGATATGCCTCGATTGGATTTAAATAATAAATTTAGACCTATTTTTATAGTATAAGACTAAAACAAATAAAGAAATTCTGTGGTTATGAAAGATTAGCCTCCAATTCAAGATTCTCCTTAACCAAAACTATTCTTTTATAGGCACCAGGGCCAAAATATAAACATATATACGGATTTTACACCTCCCAACTGCTTGACACAATGAAGGAAAGCTGGCCGCAGACGTTGAAAAGAAAAGTGAGCCTAGGCTCTATAGGAGTCACTGTACCTGGAAAATGAGAGCAGGGATGCTCTGCTGTAAGCACAGACCGTGGGCATGAATGGCTCAGAAGGTGGTGGAACTAGCTGTAGTCTGGGCCATGCGCTAATAATCAAGGTAGGTACCATGAGACTCAATCCTCCCACCTCCTCCACTGAAACATGATACATTGTCTATGACTACAGAATACACACCTTAACCTCGCTAGATTGAAACAACTTCAATGTGAATATAATTAACAGGGAACCCACGGTAGGGTATGCTGAGCAATGCAATTCAAATGCCAAATGTGGAGAACAAAGATGGTCCTGATAATTCTGCTAAACTAGTATTTTGCTTAGATCACATGAATCTTATTATTCTGGACCAGGTATTTAACAAAGTAGAAAGATACCTATTGATTTTTGCAAAGAGCCCAGGACCCACAGGACTACCTCTGGTATCCTCAAGGCTCAGATACATCATGTTCTGTGCTTGTATGTCACAAGTTAGGCAGCTAATTAGAGACCTAAAATACAAAGCACATTAACAAAAAGCTCATCATTTCTGCCTCCTACACAAAATTTGTTTCACTATGAGGGTGCCAGATAACTTTAAAACTTTTGTTATTTCCTTCCTTCCTTCATAAGTCAAATGTCATCAGGTGAAACCTGACACCAGTGACAGTACAATGTTGACAAAGATAGTAAAATATTGATGCTAGTATCATATATTTCCCTTTTTTTGATGAACATAAATTGTATACAATTGGGAGCAATATCTTGATAAATTGTATGTTAAAAAATTTTAAACCGTTATCAGATTTGATAAGCTAGACCAACAAAAAATGTTTTAAGCTGCCATGTATTTTTTTCCAGGCACTGAACAAACAGTTCATTGTTCCAAGGCTGTCTGGGAGCCATTGCTTTGGGGTATTCTATACAATTTCAAAGCACCTTCAGAAGCTCACACATGCCTTTGAGCATGCAGAACCAGGAGGCAGCACATCTAAACCACAAATGGAGACTATACTCCATTTACATGTGTAAATTAAACCCTATAAAATAACATAAGTATTATAAAATTGTGTTAAAACTGATTAACAGCTTTACTGATTTACTGACAATGAAAATATATAGCATTTTTTTCTGTCAGAGCATTTATCAACACTTGGCAACCCTGCACTAACTTGACACGTAAGATGATCAAAATGGATTATGTAATCTTTCCCATTCATTTCTATTGATTTTAGTTATGATAAAATTCATCAGTGTGCCGGGAACGCTTAGGCTGAAAGGCTCTGGTTGATAAAAGAAAAAAAAAAAGGAAAAAAGAATTCAACTGAGTTGTAATAGGATGAATGTAATTTTAGAATAGGATTGTACAAATATAGAAGTCATGCCCTAAAGGCTACAGCAACAAATTAATACAGATAATTCTGGCAGTCTTATAAAATTACATCTGTCTGTGTAGATATTTCACTTTTGTGTCATCAAAAATACAGTTTGTAAAAATATTTTCAAACTTTGTTAAACTTCAACAGTAATCAAAGTTATTTGTCTGACTGCAAGTAACATCAAAATGCTAGCAAATGGACCATTTTAATCAGTTTTATTGATTCATGCTTCCAGTTCTTATTCAGTTAAAAACAAGGCACATTAAATACATCCTCTTATTGCTCTATAAATGCATGCAGCTCATTCTGTATATCAAAAGTAATAAATAATGGCCATAAAACACCAAGACAGTTATAAAAATGACAACCCAGCCTCAAACATAGTATTTAACAGTCCAATCTAGAACAATAACCCAACACGATACATAAAAGTGCCACATATAAAAACATGCAGTGTGTATATCCACTCGAGTATTGAGCTTACACTTGCTATTCTTTAAAAACATAGTAGGGCTTTTTCACTTCTTAAAAAAGTTTGACATGATGCAAATATTGCAAGTTACAGCATTATTAGCTTTAATATTACATTCATATGCCAAAAATCTTTAGATACATAAGAGAAAAATAAAATCAATGATGACTTTTACAGCATATTTGCTGAAAGTGAGAATGAGTTTTCTGTTGTACAAAAGAGGAAGCTACAAATTTTGAAACAAACAAAGCACAGCCAGAAACTGAAGCAGAACAGGGAGCATGCATTTAATAGCAGAAATCCTAAAGTTACATTCAGTATAAATTGATTGAAAGCAAGAATATTGCAAACAGCATGATGGATATGAGGCAGACAACCTTGGCTTAACAAATAATCCAGCATCATCATGATTGTTATGGCTGTGGTGGGGGCTATTTAAAGGAGTATCCAACTCTCCAGCACAGATGGGGGTTCCTTCACCTGAATCCCCTTAAAGGCTCTTGAAATAAATCACTTGATAATAAAAGGCAATCCCTGCATACTCACCCCAACCCCAACAGAATCAACTGATGTCAAGTTTACATACAAAGGGGGAAAATTTCTTTTGTGCTTGGAATGAATTTTGAAGAAGCTTATTCCCACATATTTCTTGTCTCTCCTTCTCAAATCAGGTAAAGAAGCGGTACAGGTTTAATTAAGAACTTATACAAAATGCTGGGGTGCTTTATTCACAGTAACGGCTTGAAATCAGTTCATTTCCAAATGAGTCTCTGGGATTGGTGAAGGACGGTATGTTTTAGAAATTAGCAGATTTTAAGTCAAAGCATATGCTCAAAAGAAGAAAAGTGTGCTTTTCTTTGTCCTTAAAGGAACTTCATTCATAGCAAAGCATGCACAAACGAAGCCTGTTTAACAAACAGATCTGCCCGGGCCAGTCAGGTTCTAAGCCCGGTCCCTACTGTAACGGAATCAGGGAGGATACAACTCATCGTTATCTTGATCTAACTAGAAAGAGAGAGAGAAAAAGAAAGAGAGCACATATGTACCATACTGTGTATATCATCTGGGATATTTTAAAGGACAATTCATCTACCTATTAAGTGTCACTGGGTTCTAAACAATGATATTTATTGTCTAGATAGAAAAAAAAAAAAAGGCTAAATTGTAAAGCCACAAGCTTTCATTTACTTAAAAAAAATGAAAAAGCCAGTGTAAAAATTCACACTTTGAAAGAAAAAAGTTCACAGTGATCCCTGGGAGCATTACTTGCTCTGTTTTAGGTTTTCCTTTAGGAAGTGGCAAGTGTCTAAAACTTCATTTAAAAACAAAACGAGCTAAGATGTTTTTTTTCTCGGCAGTTTGTTTGTTTCAGTGGTGGTGGGTGGGTGCGTAGGTGAGTGAACCTCCAGTGTTTACATTGTGACATATAGGCTCAGAATCCACTTGAATACTCTGCAGTGTTGACATAAATAGAAATAACAGCACAAAAGTGTTTTATGTACCAGTTTAAAAAACTAAGACTTCAAGTCTGTGCAATAAAAGCCTGCCATGAACTAAAGTGTTACATCTCCTTTTAGATACAGAACCTGATGTTAAAAAAAAACAACAACAAAAATGTAAGTAGTTAATTTCACAAGAGGAAGTGTGATTAATAAATATTCAGATAACTAGTTAAAATGCCACCACCAAAATATAGCAAAAGGATCCCAAATTGCATTACTTGATAAATCCAATACACAGTGACTTTTGCTTTGGACTCGTGTGTGTGTGTGTGTGTGTGTGTGTGTGTGTGTGTGTGTGTGTGTGTGTGTGTGTGTGTGTAGGGGTAGGAGGGAGTGGTTATGTGTGTGTGTGTAGGGGGTAGGAGGGAGTGGTTATGTGTGTGTGTGTAGGGGGTAGGAGGGAGTGGTTATTCTTCCATTTTTATTTTTGTTTTATTGAGAATATCCCCATGGAGTACAGAAGGGGAAAGACTTTAAGCAACCATGATGACATCGGAAACTGGTTTGGGCCTTATTTTACATATAATTAAAGTTAACTAAAGTCTATTCTATCCTCCTTTACTATGGTTGCAAGTGCCCCCCCAAAAAAGACGATAAGCTAGATTTGACAATACCACATGCTTCAAAATTTAGGCTTGGGAATTGAATCTTTTGTAATCACATGTGGATATATAAAAATACCTTTTTAACTCTTAAATGTATTACTACTGTAATAATCAGATAAATTTGGTCTCATCCCATTAAATCCAAGTTGCCACTTAAAGCTGGTTTTAAAGTAAGAAAAGCAAGGATCTTGCTGGCAACTATGATAGTCAAAGAAAACCAGCAGTGACTGAAGAAAAAAACTGCTGAGATGAAACTATCACTGTAACTCCCAGCAAATGTCAATGCTATCCTTATCTTATACCTGTGATTCTGGAAGCTTTCAGAGTTCCTCTTTAAGACTTGCTCCTGTAACCAGATCTAAACTTTTCCTTCCCTCTCCAGTTAGCCAGTCATGTTCTAGATATACAAATGTGCAATATTGTTTGCATGAGGAAGGTAGACAAGCTGGAGGGAGATGGGGCTGAGAAACCTCCACAAACACTATCATTTCAATAGGTGACTCTTTTTAATAACACACGCTGTCTAATGCATGTCACAAAATTTCTCCAGCTTCTTTTCTCAATTTTCACCAAAATATTCTGTCTTTAGAATTGATTTAGAATAAAGGAATAAACGAAAAGGGAATGTGTCAAGTCTAACAGGTCACAAAATATATGTAAAACTAATGTGCATTGAAAATGAGAAAAAGAATAAAATACACTTAAAAGCTAGACTGAATGGCAAATACAAATAAAGTACAGCAAATAAAGCTGGCAAATACACCAACATCCTAAAGTTTTGAATGTTTTCTAGTGTTAAAAAAGGCAACTATCCACATTCATTATTTTAGAGTGGGTTCAGTCATCTCTGGTTGTTACGTGGTGATTTGTCGTTCCTGTGTTTGTTGGCTGTGGATTTACTGCCCAGACTCACAATCCTCCACAACTACGGTCCACTGGAATTGGAACTCTTCTGTCGAGGTTCTCTTCTGCAGTTTTCATTAGTATAGCAAGCCGGCTTCCAGATACCCTTCCTTTTTGAATAGCACTCATCAGCTTAAAGAGAAAATATGCAACAGATTCAGAATGCAGGCCAGCTTACACTCTTCTTCATGGCATTATAATGGTTGGCATTGCAGCAGGCAGAGGTAATTAAGTGCTCCATCAAAAATCTTAACAAGTACTACAGCTCAGATAAGAAGAGTATAATTTTTAAACATTTCCCAAAGAGGGGAAGGGGCAGGCATTTCACCACTGATGCAAAAACTACATCCATCTAGTGAATCAGCCTGCCTCTAAAAGTAAATCGTAATGCATCATTTTTTGTCCTTTAATGTGCTCATGGCACTTTTTTTTTAAGCAACTTCAAATATTGGATCTTTATTTCCATTTAAAATCTTAAAAAGGAATCTCAGGGATTGAACAAAGACAAACCATGACCTATATTTATCTACCCTTTTTTAATGTTACTGTACTTGATAACTTCAAGTCCCCTAAATCCAAATTCCTTAAAGACTTTTTAACGTAATTTACATTTAATTCCTTGAAAATGGACCCAGAGATCTACCTTAGGAATTAAAAGCACTCCACAGCCCAGATTTTAGCTAATTCATTTTTATCCAATGGATAAAATCAGAATTAGTCTTGAAATTACATGCAGGCAGCGGGCAAAGGCCTTTAATCTGGAAGGCACTTTGCAATTACGAGCACAGGGATTTTTTTCCTTTTCAAGTTTGATGTGGTTTCAACTATTTGCTTTTCTTAATCTCATTTCCCCAATCTTTTTTATTTATTTACTTTAAAAAGAACAGATTTAGCTATTCATCATATATATACACGCATGCATACACACATCATATATACATATATACATTATATATATGTGTGTGTGATGTATCTATGCATGTATATAAATTCTCAAAATATTTTTAGAGTTATAGCTTTTAGTCTATAGAGGCATGTTCCTTAAAAAGAGCTCTGAATAAGAGTCAGAGACATCTGCCAAGGGGCTGGATCAGAATTTCTTGACCTTATTAAAAGCTGTTTCACAAGCTATTGCTTATTAGAGATGGACTCTTACATGCAAAAGTGTCATTAAAGCCCAGGCCTAGAAATAAAGTCATATAACCATGTGATATCTGTAGTGGTCTTTCTGTGATGATTATTGAAAAATCATATCTATATTCAAAAAAGATATTTAATGGGATAAATGTGGGCTCTTTGTCTTCAGAAGAGCAAAATATTTGAAAAAAAACCCTCCAAATATACTTTACATCTGAGGAATGGTATAACATAAGGAATACTGACATCTAAAGACAGAACAATTTATTGTTTATTGCTTTGTCTCTGATTTTGTCTCTGATCCCAGGAAGATCTGCAAAGTTTATTAGAGCTAACAAAACTGACAAAGCTAGAGGTTTTTTAAGCTATAGACGGTATATGATGTGCCAACTTCTCAAAACTCAAAGTTTTATTTAAACACTACATGTATCTAGAAACCATATTACAAGAAAAAAAAATTGGGGTGTGAATATATTTCATGAGGAATATGGTCAGCAGTATAAAATTGAAAATGATACTGTGTATTTGTTCTTAGCAGAAGCATAAATAGTCTCTTTCATTTGGAATTGGAGACAAAATATTCAATTATTAAAAAAAAACTCTACTAGAAAACCTGCAGATAGTTTAAATTATCTTGTTTTTAACTCAACTGCATTCAAGAAAATTACTTAAAACCTAAACCACACAGCATATTCATAAAATTAGATTCTTATTGTTTCTAAAGTACCATGTCTTTCAACTCTAAATTCTGCTGTTTATTTACAACACATATGAAATGAAGCACAGGCCATTTTCTTTGAAGAAAAGTTTTCTAACATTGTGAGGTCAACAATAAAATATTCTCCAGAAAAACTACACACCAGAAAAATGCATTAAGTGGTCTTTAATTCTCAAGCATAAATTTTAAATTCAATTTAAAATGTGTATTTAGTTAAACAGTAAGCTAAAGAACCAAACATTCTTTTTTGTAATGCTGGACACAACCTGTGAAAATTTTCTGCATTTAGATTCAACAATGCTCTTATCTGCAGCTCATCTCCAGAGAGACAATTACCATTTCCTTTGCCTTCATCTTGTTTGTTTAACTTGACACAGTGAAGAAAGGGCTGACAGTGACCAAAATCCCCAGCATTAATTTATTTCATGTTCAGCATTCATCATTGCCATGGTGCAAGCAAGACCTGGCATTCATTTGAAATACCTGCCCAAGAAGCACTACAGATAAAAACCTAGCTGCTTGGAAACCAATGCATTCTTCATATGATCAGAGTCATATGGACGGCTACAAATAATGTATGGGTTTGGTTGAAATTTCTTATAAGAAATGATATGTAGCATCCAGTCTGAAGTTAAAGTAACAAAATTTATTTCCTGCATGATTACTAAGATTAAACAATGGAGCCTTGAATAAATTAACAATTGGAAATGGAAATATTTAAATTATATGGTCTTGACCCCAAAGTACAAGTTTCCTTCCTTATGTTTTTGTCCTTCTTTATAATGCCATAATCTAATCACTAAATTCTCAAATTCATTGATTCACTATCATTCACTATGATTCATTAGTGAATACAACCATACTTTTAAAAATTTTCTACATAATAGATTAGAAATCTTGTGTTGTCTCTTATTAAGCAGGTAGAGAAAGGTCGAGCAGTGACATGTCATGGCATACACCTTTAAAAAGCATGCTTCATATTCAACCCTTTAAGCCGTAAATAACTCTTGGATTTAATCTAAATTACCTAACATAACAAAATGTTTCTTATACAAAAAAAGAAAAAGAACATGCACCAAAGTCAAGCCTTACGCTTGAGGGCAGACATACCAACCTTTGTTGGCTTTGAGCTTTCTTCTTCAGAGTAAAGTGACAATTGTGTGGACTTAAATATCCATTCTTGAACATGAATTTACAATCATGGCAAACAAAAGATTAAAGCAAATATCCTTGTTTCCTTTCAGCACAACTCACCTGCAAAAATTCATTGAGTTCAACCTGTCCATTTTTATTCAAATCGACTTCATTTAGAATTTCATGGAGTGTATTTTCATCCATCTGGACATTGATACTCTAAGTAAAAGAAAAGCACAGAATAATACAGTTTGATTAAAAATAATGCATATGCTTTGGCTGGGCACAGTGGCTCATGCCTGTAATCCCACCACTTTGGGAGGCTGAGGCGGGTAGATCAATTGAGGTCAAGAGTTCAAGACCACCCTGGCCGACATGGTGAAAACCCATTTCTGCAAAAAATATTTTAAAAAGTAGCCAGGCATGGTGGCGCACACCTGTAGTCCCAGCTACTCAGGAAGCTGAGGCAGGAGAATTGCTTGAACCCAGGAGGCAGCAGTTAAAGTGAGCCAAGATCATGCTGCACTCTAGCCTGGTCAACAGAGTGAGACTCTGTCTCAAAAAAAAAAAAATTATGCATATGCATTTACTAATGTTACTAATCTTTTAAAAATTATAAAATATTACTTGTAAAAAATACTAGATGAGAAAAACATCTACTACCATCTTTATATTCTTCTAGTGTCAGAGGCTGACATCAGACCAAAGAAAATTACCTCTAATACTCGCTGAACATCAACAATGGTAATAAAGCCTTTCTGGTCGGCATCAAATTTATGAAATCTCTTCTTATACCTGGAACACAAGATTAAATAATGAAAAAATATACTTACATAGTCAAAAAAAAAAAGAGAGAGAGAGAGAGAAAGACACTTAATATAAGTACCTGTCAATGTCTGAAGGCAGTAGGCTAATTTCAGAGCGATCTGTTAGCTGTTCTGATCGAGATTTATAGCCCATTTCATAATATAAAAACTTTCTGGCTGTTTCAAGTTGTTCCTAAAACAGAGATACACACAAAGTTCAATTTATGGAAAGGATTATTGATTTTCTTCCTCCTTTTTTCTTTTGATCTTCATAAAGTTGAAGATCTAACCAGCACAATTTTTTAAATTTCTTCTAGTTTTACTAAAGTATAATTTGTATTCAATAAAATGCACCCTCTACCATGATTAAGATCTACAGCATTTCCATCATCCTAAAACTTTTCACATGTCCATTTGCAGCTGATCCCTTCCCATGATCTCTCACCCCAAGCAAACACTGATTGGCTTCTTGTCACCAGAGTTTGCCTTTTCTGGAATTTCTTATATAAAAGGTTTCATATAGTATGGAGTCTTTTGTGTTTGACTGCTTTCACATAGGATGATGATTCTGAGATTCATTCATGTTGCTGCATGCTTTAATATTTTCTTTCTTTTTACTGCTGAGTATTCTTACACAAAATTGACAGACAAAATCAAATTATTGCAGTTTGGTGACAAAAAAGTAATGAAAGGTGAAGATACCTTGGATCTGAACAACTACTATAATGTGACATGAAGTGAGAAGGTATATCTCACGAGATTAGCTGTGCTGAACTTTTGCCACAGAGATTCTGATAGTTAGGTGAATTTACAGAGTCACGAGAATAAATAAGCTATCCTCAATTTACTCTTCTTGTTTTCAATGTCCCCAGTGTCAATTAATACTAAGTGTTGCTGCAAATACTGTCTTTCATAGTTTTCATCGTGTCACTCTCCCATCTAAAATGGCTCTATTGTAGCATACATTGTTCACAAGTCTCTCTTTTCTCATATGTATGTTACACACACACACACACACACACTTATCCGCCACACATACACTTCTCAATCGTATTGATGTGAGATGGCCACGTGACTTACTTTGGCCAGTGCAACATGAATAGGTATGATATATACTACTTTTGAGTAAAAGCCTGCATGGTAAGTTGAGAGTTTTGCTTAGCCTCTCTTACTCCTGTGCCATAAGAAGGGCACATCTCAGATGAGATCTGAAGCCAATCTGGAATATGGAGAAGAGCCACAGCAGCTACTATGCAGACTTCATGTAATGTGAGTGAAAAAGAAATGCTTGCTGAGATGAACCACTGAGATTTTGAAACTGACTGTTATTTAGTATAAACTAGAACAATTCTTAAATTTCCCAACTTCCCATCAAAGGATCTTGTGAACCAAATTCTGGTCTGAAGAATAGTGCCAGTGTGAAGTGAAATGAAGAAAATGGAACAATGATGCATACACTTGCTTGAAATGTGTTTATATGTGTTTGGTTATGTTGGTGACAAGACCCCTTATTGTTTTTTTCTTGAGAAGACAATTTTTTTTTTTTTCTTCCCTGAGACAGGGTCTTGCTCAGTCACCCAGACTGGAGGGCAGTAGCATAATCATGGCTCACTACACCCTCTACCTTGCAGGCTCAATCCTCCCACGTCAGCCTCCCAAGTAGCTGAGATTATAGGCACATGCCACCATGCCTGGCTAATTTTTTTTTTCTTTTTTTGGTAGAGAAGGGTTGTCCCTATATTGTCTAGGCTGGTCTTGAACTCCTGGGCTCAAGTGATTCTCCTGCCTCAGCCTCCCAAAGTGCCAGGATTACAGGCATGAACCACTGTGCCCAGCTATCAGTTTTTTTTCCTGAAATTATTCCTTTCCTACTTTCCTTTGTCTTAGGATATAGATACTAGAAATATTCTTCCTTCATGTTCTTAAATAATAAAAAATTATCAACATGAAATAATTCTCCCAGCTTAAAAAGTAAATTTAAAATGTGTGTGTGTTTGGGTGTGTGTGTGCACATGTATTTCATACACAAAATTTGTCTGTGAAGTCTCCATCTCCTAGGCCATTTTTCACTGGCAGATTTTTCTTTTCACACAAGGAAATCCACCAGTTGTCATAAATAAAATTATTTTGCTCTTCCACCACTTTTACCCAGACATTTTCTACACAACTTGTTCAAAATCCATCTCCTTGGAAATGCCATCCTTGATGCTTCCCTGCAATGATGATTTCTTTCTCGATTTATGGCCCTTCACTTCCATCAAGCAAGGAATTATGGAATTTCAAAGCTGGAAGATATTTTTCAAAAAGGGTACTCAATGTCCTTCCCTTATCCCACATTTCCTTTATAACATTCCAAAAATGGAAGAATAAAGCCTTCGTGTAAACTCTAACATTGGGAGGTAACTTAATACTGCTGAAAGCTGCTCATAGAGGGATGGCTCCAATTATTAGAAGGTTTTACAGTGAGCTTAAATCCACCTCCTTGCAATTCTTTCAGTTTTGGGGGATTAATAAATCTTTCCTACAGTAAAATTAACCTAATGAGTGTTTCTTTTTAATTTATTTCTATATCACAGTTTAACAAGTATTTAAAGATAGTATCATGTGCTTTCCTCCTTAGAGTTTTCTTTTAGTCTAGGACTACTATATAAAACATTATTTCAAATCCCTATATCATGTTGTATAATTTCTTCCAGACCACAACCAGTCTGTCATGTAATACAATTATCAGAACAAAATACAACACTGCAACAGAGACCTGGCAAGTACCTAGAAGGGAGTAACTATCAGCATCATCAATCTAGATATATGATTTCTATTAATGCAGCTTAAGATTGCAATTGGATTTGGGGGCAGCCATGGTCCACTGTTAATGGCTATGCATTCACAGTTAACTAAAACCATATTTCTTTTTCACGTGTGCTATTGTTAAGCCTTGTCGAATCTATCTTGAACGGATGGAGTTGTTTTCCTACCTAATGTAAGGTTTGCCATTTATCTCTATTAAATTATATCTAATGAAATTTCACCCATTGTTTCAATCCATCATCAAACATTCACTCTCCCTCCAGTATCTTGTTATTGGTACATCAAAGATGCATGCCATCGACATTGTAATTTAACCACTTGAATCAAGGTAGACTAGGTCAAGATCTAGGACAAGGTGCTTACCACTTACTATCAGAGACCTCTTCTGAGGCCAACATTGGTGATTTAAGCTGTTATAAATCCACCAATTTTATAGCTATAACATGGGGCTTTCCAAAATGCTTTATAGAATCAAAATTCAAAAATCTCCTTGCTCTACCTAAAAAGGAAATGAGGGCCAGTGTGGTGGCTCATGCCTATAATCCCAGCACTTTGGGAGGCTGAGGCAGGTGGATCACTTGAGCCCAGGAGTTCTAGACCAGCCTGGCCAACATGGCAAAACCCTGACTCTACAATAATAATAATAATAATAATTAGTTGGGCAGGGTGGTCCATGCCTGTAGTCCCAGTTACTCAGGAGGCTGAGGTGGGAGAATCATCTGAGCCTGGGAGTTTGAGGTTGGAGTGAGCCATGATCATATCACTGCACTCCAGCCTGGGCAACAGGGCAAGACCTTGTCTCAAAAAAAGAAAAGAAAAGAGAAAAGAAAAAAGGAAAAGAGAGTCTGAAATGATTTTGCCTAAATGATTCCTTACTAGCTTCTGTTATCACTATTTCTTGATAAATGCTGATAAAATAAACTTAAAATGCCAGAATCTAGAAAACCACCCAAGATCAATGCCAAGACCATTAGTTTCTAGGTTGCATAGTATATTTTTCTTTCCTCTGGTTTTTGAAATTCGGTATTACATTTGCCTACCTTCTGTCTTCTGGTCCTGTTCCTATTTGCTACAGTATTTTAAAGAGCAAAAGTAAGCTGATCCCAAGCAAGAGAATCACAATTGCAAATTCTCTGAGTACTCTAAAGGTATAATTTTTCTGGACTGGCTACTCATTCAGAGTAGCCTCCTATTTCAATATCTACTCATTCTTACCAATATTTATATTTTACTCTTTTCACACATAAAAACTGAGAGGGAGAAGGAGAGAGAAGGAAAAGGTCATTGGTAGTAAACTATAAATTGAATAGTCCTCCTTACTTTCCAGCATTCAAGAATATGATGTCTGTCACCTTAAGCAATGATCTAGATTGGGTCTTATTTTTTTTTCTTCTTTTTTTTTTTTTTTTTAGACGGAGTTTCGCTCGTTGCCCAGGCTGGAGTGCAATGGCGTGATCTCAGCTTACCATAACCTCTGCCTCCTGGGTTGAAGCAATTCTCCTGCCTCAGCCTCCCGAGTAGCTGGGACTACAGGCATGCACCACCATGCCCAGCTAATTTTTGTATTTTTAGTAGAGACGAGGTTTTACCTTGTTGACCAGAATGGTCTTGAACTCTTGACCTAGTGATCCACCCGCCTCGGCCTCCCAAAGTGCTGGGATTATAGGCTTGAGCCACTGTACCCAGTCCAATTTTTTAACAGTATGTTTGGTGCCCTGAGTATTTTTTTCTCCAACACTCAAACAATACCTAACACTATTCATATATATCCACATTTTTCCTGATAGCGCTCCTCTCATTGTTGAGCACTTGTCTTCTATTTGTTTTACATTTGGTATTTATCAGCTTGCTTTAATCAGAGTCACTCAAAGTCTTCACTTGCCTCTCCTTTTTCCCCCTCATTGGAAGAAATTTTGAAAAAAAGAAAAATATTTTTTTGCGAAACTCTCAGTCTACTTAAATGTCTTCTCTTCATAGTCTCTGAATGAAAAATGGATCTTTTGTCTGAACATGATAAAATCTACCTTATCAAATCCTACAGGGCAGCATTTCCCAAAATATGTTCTAAGTACTAGCCCCCTTCCTACCCCGTTATCCCAAAAAGTGAGAGTTAGGTCTGACTCCAAATAAGTTCCCTTTTGGAAACTGAAAACATACATAACCATTTTAAAGGTTCTAAGTTATCTGCACTAAAGGAAATGATTTTATTTGTTTAACTCAGAATTTCTCACAGTCTTTTGACCACGTTCATCTTTCCACATATATTAATTTATACCCTGCAGAATACCATTTGGCAATGTTTTTTTCTCTCTACATGTTCCTGCCAACTCCTCTAACAATCCCCAACTCCCCCAGACACTGCCTTCTTCCCTAATCAGTTCTTTCAAGTTGGTTAGATTTTGGTCTCGAGTAACAGTTTCTCTAAATATTTCTCCAAATTTTGGAAAATATGCATAAATGTCAGAGCTATATATGTGTCATAACAACCCAATTAGATTTTAAAATCTTAAAACTATGAGCTATTTAGTATTCCCCTAAAATATTTGGTGCAATGTTCAGTATACAAGTCACTCATTAAGTATTGACTGATAAAAACAAGCACAATTCATCTACAGAGAGTTATTTATCACCTTGTTCCTCGTTCACTTTTGCAGGTTAAATAATCCCAATGCTTTTAACCTTTTCTTAGAAGTCCAACTTTCTAACCTTTTAATTCTTTTTCCTCCTCTCCTTTGTTCTCTTTAGACTGTCCATAGCTCTCATTAATACTCTTACATCTCAGATACTGAGTAATAGCTGTAGGTCTTTATTTATGTCACTTTGTTAAGGGGGATGGCAGAATATTTCTGAGAACATAAATCTGTTCATAAAATATGAACTGAAGTTAAATCTAGCTTCCTTGGTAGGGCCAAACACAACCAGTTTACAGAATTTTCTTCCTCCTTCCTACCTCCTACAGACTGAATTCCTAGCATAAAATATGTTCCTGCATATTCAAATCATTCCAACCATAATTTTTGGAAGAACACATTATCCCCAATCCTTCTATATGGTAAAAAAGGACTGACAAGCACAGGAGCAAGTTTCATTTTTGTGTTGCCTCTGTACAGAGCTTTAGCTAATCAAACAAACGCTCAAGACCTCAATAGCTATAAAGCAGTAGAGCTAATGCAGATGCAGCAAGGCAGGATGGAGAGAGCTTATGCTCTGGGATCAGAATACCTGGTTTCAATCCCTGCTTTACAATTGACTGTTGGTATAAACTCTGACAGAGTCTTACTTTGTGAACCTGTTTTCTCAACTGTATAATGGGGGTAAATGTTATCCCTGACAATGGCATGATCAGGATTAAGAAACTCCTGAAGTCAAGCCCTTTTCTCCCACATTTCCCAGGTGACTCTGATATGTAACCATCTCTGGAAATCTACACTAGAATGAGAATAATTTAAAAACAGGCCACATGACCAATTCTTTCCTTGCACTGTCAGCATGTAACACAGATGCCCAATAATGTTCATTCACTCATGTCATGTGAGAACACAGAAATACAAATAAACCAGAACACAGGTCCCCACCAAATCCCAAATCTACTGATGCCTTAATCTTGGACTTCCCAGCCTCCAGAACCATAAGAAATAAATGTTTGTTGTTTAAGCCACCCAGTCTATGGTATTTCTGTCCTAGCAGCCCAAATGAACTAAGATATACTTTCTTTCTTACCTTCTAGGTCAACACTCCTTTTTGCATCTTCTCACACCTCCTCTAACCTCACTAGCTATTATTTTCTCTTTTTCCTAGATATTTCCTTATCTTCTAAGCTTCTAAGCTTTGGTGTGCTCCAGTGCTTGGCCTTTGGACTCGTTTCATCATCTAACTACATTAATTCCCTATATAATGTCATCCAGTCTGATGGCTTAAATATCAACTGAAATTTATATCTCTAGCCCAAGCCTTCCCTCTGAATTTCACACTGACATAACCAATGATCTGGATTATGTATTAATAAACTAATTACTGAAGTTGTTAAAAAAAGGGATACCAGTTGAAAGGAGGGAAGCTATTACAGTCATCCATGTGACAGATACCGGTAACCTGAATCAGAGTGATGGCAGTTGGATGTGTCAAGAAATGGTGGAATTCACTTCAACACAAAGTGTTTGCTTAAAAATTTTTTAAATGATTTTTTAAATGAAAGGGTTGAATTCAAATAGTTATTTAAAGATAAATATGATATGATATGCTGATGTATTTAGATAGGTATGAGAGAATGCATAAAGTACGATACTAATGTTTGGCTTGAGTAACTGAAGAATGGAATAGCCATTTACGACATGGAAAAGTCTATAGGAGTAGTAGTTTGGGGAAGGTAAGAGGAGATCAAAGAGAGGTGGTGTTCCAGAAAGCAAAATATTGTTCAAGAAGGAGGGGGGAATGAATTGTGTCATATGCTGCTAATTGGACAAGTAAAACAAGGACTTCAAGTTAACAAATTTATTGAGTGACATGGAGGTTACTGGTGAGATTGACCAGAGCCAATGCAGCAAAGTGGTGGCAAAAGTGCCTAAATGAAATGGGTTCAAGAGATCCTGGAGGAAAGGAACTGAACCCAGTGAATACAGAAAGTATTTTATGAATATATAAATATCCTTCATTGCCCTCTGTATAACACAATAGTTTGGGTTAATTAAAAAACAGAGATCTACTTAGCCCAACCCGGTATGTGTGTTTGTGTGCACATATATGTATGTAAATATGTTGGGGCGGGGGTGGTGTATGCATCTGAGCATCAATGGCTTTTAAAAATTTGAATATAAATATAAAATCTCAAATGAGACAAATAATAAGCATTTAGCTCTCAGGCAGAAAAGCCACATTTCTTACCAAAGGCAAACTAGCAGGAGTGTGAATTTCACTGATTATGTTCTAAGAGTGCTTTCAGTGAAAACCAGAAAAGGCTCCATACCACAACCAATATTATCTTTCTTTTTTAGGAATTATGACCGCAAATTTATGAGCATTTTCTAGAAGAGATTTTCCATAAACAACTAAATTTTGGTACAAGAATATCTTTCCATTTTCCTAAGGTCTAACAATATTAAACATACACACAGAAAAACTGGTAAGAAATCTAAGGTTATCGAAAACTATGATAATTAAGCTGTTCCAAGTTTATAATGGGAATTGTGGTTTTAAAGACTTCTATATAATACCTGTTTCTTATAATCATCCCAATTTAGTTCCCTGCCCATCAGTTCAACAATTCTGGGTAGGGCTTCCTCTGCTGCCTGGACATTTAGAAAGGCCAGACGAGTGCGACGTGAAATCATATCCACAGCAGTACAGGCATACTCCTTAATTCCATATTTCACCTGAGTTTAAAGAAAAGTTATTAGCTGAGATCCTTCTTTAGAAAATGAGAAATAAAATTTCATTAAAAAAATAATAAATTTGTGATTCAGAAAGGTAACATTTTTCTTTAATTTCTCTGGTCCTCCAGCAGGCATGAGACAAATAGTGGCATCACAGAATTTTTCCATCTCCCTGCCAAAGGAAGTTTGGAAAATGGCAAAAATTAGACAAGAGTTAATGCCTTTTTCCTGAATAGGACCTGGCATAAACATGAAAATTGCATCACTTCTCATTAACCATCCACAGTCATCACTTATCTCTCTATGCTTATACATAATGTGGACTTTAATTTACATAGCTGACTAGGAAAAGGATGAGTGTCAAAAAGTTATGATCTCACCTCTTTAGGCTGTACAGTTTTGTGTCTTAGAGTAACCAGAATATAGGAACCCTGAATTCAATCAACAAGTAAATATTCACTGGACATTAATATTTTAAGGCACAGTGAATGACAACTAAATACAAAGCCTGGTTTCTGATTTCACAAAACTGGAAATCTTGATGAGAAACAAGACTTAAATCTTTGAGAAACTGTCACATCAAAATATGTAGGTAGGACATGAGTGGTACAAACTTAAAGAGCTGCAAATGCACAAAAGGGACAACTGTGAATTAACACCATTACAGATAGTTTGATGGAGAAAAAAGAAATCTATATTTTATATTGTTATTACCACTATCAATATCACTTCAGAATTAAGATTAATATTTTATAAATAAAATGATCTGTATTGGAAAGACATAGTTGTCAAGGTTTTAGCTGACACATGTGCATTAAAACTTAGCTACATATAATTTTTAAAGAAGATGAAAATGAACAGATAAATGGTATCCCACGGCAGACATGAAATTCCTATGTGACCATTCACATACCTCTGCTTCAATATATGGAAATTCTGACACAAGACGTACTCCAACAATAGGCCACCTTTTGCCAGTAACACTTGCCATTTTGGCCACCTCAAAAGCCTTATCACCATAGGTGGCGGCAAGATGCTGTGCCACCTAGAGAAACAGAGCTGCATTAGGCAGGCACTTTGAATATCAATACCTTCTAGGCACAAAGCAAAAAACATACATGCTTATCTTGTCAGTTTTCTCACAGCCTGTAACTAATAGCTCTCGGAGAGTATTAGATTTTGATTTTGTGGGAGGAAACCACTTGGCCTTCGAATGCTTAGGCCAGCACTAACTCTCTTACACATGCATCACTGTATCAATGACTGATGAAGCTTCAGCTTCATTTTGCTCCTGATATCACTTCTAAAGAACAGCCTTCTGCATGTCTGAGACAGAATTTGGGATGCCCTACACACTAGAAACAAACCAAATAAACTCCACGTTTTAATAAAATACATTTCATAAAGTGTAATTGCTTGTTGGGCAAATAAAGCAAAGTAAGATCATCTTTTTTTCCTTCCACAATAGACAGGCAGAAACACACCTAGCAAAAGGAACTCTCAATGAGGGAGATCAAGTCATTGCTGCCAGTTCTGTTACCAGCAACAGTGAGAGATTAGGTAAAGAGTAAAATGATGTGGCAATGTACACTCACCTCACTTTCAAGTCCATAATCCTGGACAAGCCTAATGTAGAGTGTGGGGCTCCAATCTTTACCCCCTTGAAGAAAAAGCCCAACTGTTCTACTTGGTCCTGCTTTTAAATTGTGAGTTTTGATTGCAGCATTTATGGTATCTTCTGCCATAGACCGATAAGTTGTCCACTTTCCACCTACAAAGAAGTTGGTAGACAATTCATTAGGTTGCCAGCCATTATTTTTCTTATAATTAACCATTTATCAAACTTATGAATAACAAAATTCTCCTGTTTGTAACAATCATGGCATTGTGTAAAATTTTACTCAAAATCAAAAAAAAAAAAAAAAAAATCCTTGTTCAATAAAGTTAAAAAAGATTCTGGCAGGACAATTTAAGTCAAACTCGTATCTAAAGCACATCCAAATTACAAGACAGAAAGCCAGGTGTAGTGGCCGACGCCTGTAATCCCAACACTTTGGGAGGCTGAGGTGGCAGAATCATCTAGTGGTGGGTGAGACCCTGTCCCTATAAAAATAAAAAAATAGAAAATAAAATAATGAAGTAATATGTCATACCTGCTATAGTAATAAGGCCACTCTCACTGACATCGACAACATGATTTCGGGAGATAGACTGAGTATCTGCAGATTTGGGATCTGTAACAAGGGGACGGATACCACTCCACGCTGCCAGGACATCCCCTCTTCTCACTGGTAGAAATCAATGCCAAGAGTTAAGAAGATTACTCAGAAATATTTCAACAAAAATATTAAATAGTTAATAAAAAGAGTTCAGTGACAGGAATACCTATGTGTGCAGTTTAAAAAGGAGAAAAAGCCTAAAAAAAGATGAAAACTAAGTCTGTGGATAGGTACAAGAAAATCTCATAAATAATTATCCTGTTACAAAGATAATCTCCATGAAAAAGTAAAAAACTTAGGAAATCACTGACACTGATACCACAGAGGAAGCAAAAGAGGCAATGTTAGCAATCCTCCAGCTGAGGCAACCTGGAGCAGTCAGAAAAACAAGAAAGGAAAAAAAAAGCAGAAACAAACAAAACCAATCCAAGAGATGCATGAATTGTTAAATTTCCTTCTAGAATACATCTTCCTATCTCTTCTCAGTGAAGATAAAGATCCTTAACAAATTAAACAAACCTGTAACAGGATATTATATTTTCTCCCCTCATCAATACCACCCTTTTCCTGAGTGTCTACAGCAGGCCTACCACTGTGCAAAGCACTTGACATAGACATCTTGTTTAATCTCACAACCCCATAGCACTGGTTATTATTATTCTCACTATACAGATCAGAAAACAGATGAATGCAAATGTTTAACAAATCAAGTTGGGCAACAAACCTGTCCAAGGCAAACATCTTATATATGGTAAAACAGCATTAGAACCTTCTTCTTTCTAAGTTTAAAGTCCATATTCTTACCTCTTAAATTGTACTGTCTCTCAATTTCTGACAATTTCCATACTCTACCTTTTTTTTTTTCTCATCCCATTATCTTTAGCACTGACACAGAAACAGGTATACTGGCTTCTCCTAGTAGGTACATTATACTTGAGTTATAGTATATGGAAGTTTTTTCAAAACTCAAGATGTCATGAAAATATCTTTACTATCTCTGTCAAAATACAATTCCCAACTATACCCAGGCTGATTAAGTTTATTATTAAGATTAGACAGCTGTTGAACAGCAATCATGACGAACCTAAAAATGACTGAAGAGAGAGGGTGAGCTACGGTTTTGGTCTAACAGGTACAAGGGCAAGACCCAAGGGCAGAATTTTCAGAATCTGCCCTTCTTCATGTAAATCAGCCTTAAGAATAGCTTAGCTATGGGAGCTGACTATAGGCACAAGAGTGAAAGTTGCCTGATGATATAGACTGCAGGGAAATGAGCACCTACCTGGTCCTGCTGCATTTATTGTGGTAAATCAGCTAATCCATCAATGGATAATAGAAACATGAGTATAATTTTGCCTCAACTGTGACTTAGGGTTGGGGGATCATGTGTGCCCTCCTTCTTCATCATACTCCCAGCCATTACCCATACTGATAAAAAATTGCCAGTATATAGTCTTGAAAGCTTCAAGACAATGGGAAAACTGGATCTCCACATGCAAAAGAATGAAGGTGGACCCTTACCTTACATCATATACAAAAAATTAACTCATAATGCATCAAAGACCTAAACATAAGAGCTAAAGCTATAAAACTCTTAGAAGAAAACATATGGGAAGAGCTTTACGACACTAGGCTTGTCAATAATTTATTGGATAGACATCAAAAGCACAGGCAACAAAAGAAAAAAAGATAAAACAGACTTCATCAATATTAAAGAGACACTATTAACAGAATGAATAGGTACCTCATAGAATAGAGAAAATATCTGCAAATCATATACTGATAAGAATATATCATATATGTAGAATGTATGAGAAATCCCTAAAATGCAACAACAAAAAGCAAACAACTTGAATTAAAAAATGAAAAATGGAGCTGGGTGCGGTGGCTCATCCTCTGTAATCCTAGCACTTTGGGAGGCTGAGGCAGGTGGATCACTAGGTCAAGAGTTTGAGACAAGCCTGGGCAGTATGGTGAAACCCAGTCTCTACTAAAAATACAAAAATTAGCTGGGTGTGACAGCATGTGCCTGTAGTCCCAGCTACTTGGGAGGCAGAGAATGGCTTGAACCTGGGAGGCAGAGGTTGCAGTGAGCCAAGATGGCGTCACTGCACTCCAGCCTCCACGACAGAGCGAGACTCGATCTCAAAAAAAAAAAAAAAAAAAAAAAAAATTAGAAAAGGACTTCAATAAATATTTTTTAAAAAAGATATACAAATGTCCAATAAGCACATTAAAAGATACTAAACATCACTAATGATTAGGGAAATGCAAATGAAAACCACAATAAGACACCACTTCACACCCATTAGAATGGATATTATTGAACAAAAACAAAACAAAACAGAAAATAACAAATACTGATGATGATGTGGAGAAATCAAACCCCTTCTACACTGCTGGTTAGAAGGTAAAATGGTGCAGCTGCTATAAAAAATGTATGGTGATTCCTCAAAAAATTAAACAGTTAGAATTACCATATGATCTAGCAGTTACACTTCTGGGTATATACCCTAAAGAAATGGAGCAGAGAAAAGTTTTACAACCTTGTTCAAAGCATTATTAACAATAGCCAAAAAACGGAAGCAGACCAAGTGCCCATCAGCAGATGAATAAATAAAATGCAGTATACATTTACAATGAAATATTTCCCAGGCTTAAAAAGAAAGAAAATTCAGACACATGCAACATGGATGAACCTTGAAGACATGTACTTAAGGAATAATCTAGCCACAAAAAGACAAATATTGTACAAGTCCACTTATATGAGGTACTTGGAGTACTCAAACTCATAGAAGCAGAAAGTAGAATGGTAGTTGCTTGAGGGAGGGGAGAGGGGGAATAAGAGTTAGTATTGAATGGTTAGAGCATTGCAGTTGAGGAAAACACAAATGTTCTGGAGATGGAAGGTGGTGATGGCTGCATGACCGTGTGAATGTACTTAATGCCACAGAACTGTAACTTAAAAATGGCTAAAATGGTACATTTTATGTTCTGCATATTCTACCATAATTTAAAAATCAAGATAAAAGGATAAGTTGATATAATTCAAGTCTCAAATTATGAGAGGGTTAAGGAAATATTTTACCTATAATATAGAAGTATCAGGACCTTTATTAACCATACCATGACCATGTTCTAGTTCAAATCCATAAATCCCATGCAGAGATCAGTTTTGTGAGCAGAGAGCAGAGCTAAATTTCAGTTCCCACTCAACCCTTGGTCATATACCTTTGTACAGCAAACATTCTGTATATCTATATACATCACCATCTGAAAAGTAGTTAGGTGTGTATCCAGCAAACTTTTGTGTGAAAAGTCACAAAGACTCCTTGAAATGATTGGAATAGTTCTTGCTGAAAAAACAGAACAAAACAAAACTCTTCCTTACCAATTATAAGAAAAAGACCCTAAAAGCAAGCTATATTGGATAACAGATAATCTTTCCATCTTGATCTAAAATAAATAATAGGTTTCTGCTAAAAATAAACTCAACTAAAGTCACTCTGGCATATTTTACTGTAGATTCTTAAAGGCTGCACTCTTGATATGACTGTAATCTGAAAGAATAGAACCCATCACCTCAATGGGATGTTCATTCAATCCCATATCCCAATACTGCAACTGAAACACTAACATAATTAACTGGCGAGGAAAGCCTAAGGCGTCTCAGTCTTACTAACTGGAGACCATACAGGACCTCAATGCTGGGATTCCATCCCTAGATCTGTCCCCTCTGATGTGTTCATTGTCTTAAATAGATTTAATCTGGATGGCATCTGTGGAATGGGGATTCATTCCTGCTTTACACAATTTTACCACTCATATAAAACCTCAAAACAAGTTGTAAAAAGTGTTTTAATCTTTACTAAAAACCTAACTAGGAAATTACCACTATTTTCCATTAGAGTTCACGTCACCCTCTGAGATAAAAATAAAACTTAGCAAACCCACTTAAAACGTCATTGTGGTCATCCCACAGTCCCTCTAGTGTCTGTGAAATTCCTTAGGTAGCCACACTGATCAGGAATTTGGTTTCAACTCTTGAAGCTCTCTGACTAATTTTAAAGTTATTTGATGGAATATTAGGCTTTGCAGAGTAAATTTGAGGCATATGCAAATAATCTGTGGCAAATGCCTTTTCTGTTATAATAGGCAGAAAAGCACAGCTATGAAATTGTATTGTCTGAAACAAAAGATGAAACTGAAACATTCAAGTTTTTCATCCATCCAGGAACACTATTGTAAAATATTATCACTATTGATACCATTTTTAATACTTGCTCCTGGAGGACACTAAAAAAAAAAAAAAAAAAAAGTTAAACAGTTCATAATGTGTTAAGAACTTTAATTCACTTTGCCTGACATCTTAGCATTCAGTTTTTAGCCTGAGAATTATATCAGTTGAATGTTGGGATTAAACTCATTGAAAATAATACATTTAGGGATGATCAAATGTCCTTATTTAAATTGTGAATTAGTCTTTATGGCCTGCAAAATTTTTATAGTATTAGACCAGAAGGTGGTTGGATCAGTTTTTCTATATCAGTTCCTCTCCCAACCTTGAGATGTAATGATTTTAATGGATGATTCAAAACTCTACTTGCCATTGAAGAATTAAGAGTTTGTACCTCCCCACCACTCATTTAGTAATGACTGCTCAGGACCTTGGGAATAATCCATGTCTAAGGGGCACAGCATAGCTAAACATGTGAGACATTAATTCTAACTCTTGAATAAAAGACAGCAACTTACAAAGCTAACAGGTTCCTCTCCTTATTACCTATTACCCACAGTGGAAATCTTGTACACTGTTAAACTCTTATGAAAGCTTTTTTCAAGAAAGATTCAAAGTAATAGATGCTAGTCTGAACAAAGAATCATTATGACATCTATAAATTCTGCCTGGTGCTGTTACAGCCATGAGGCAAGCACAGGGAAAACAACCTTAGGACGAAACTACCTTGGAAGATTGTAGAGTGATGATAAATAAGGATAATGTGTCTTAGACACTGATGAATCATTAAATTGATCACCTTTTGAGGCTTCTTGTATCTGGAGTTTTTGTT